CTTTTATGAAAAATGAAGGGAAAAAATGAAGAAAACCTCATTTGTTAATATTTATTTGTACAAGTACTGAGCACTGACCGCTAGAGCTCCTTTTTTTTTTTTTTTTTTTTTTGTGGAACCAGGGATTGAACTCAGGCCCTTGTGCTTGCCAGGAAAGCACTTATTCCACTGAGCCATCTCCCCAGCCCAAGAGCTCCATTTTTTGTTAGTTAAAAAAATAAGGCTCAAATTTAGGTTCAGTAAAATTAGCTTTACTTTTGACATTCAGTTCTGGATTTTGACACATGAATAGATTTTCATAACTGGAGCAGTGAGTTCATAGAGAAATTTCCTCCCACCAAAACCTACCCCCTCCTGACTCTCAGCCTCACTCCTGCCCTGCCCCCAGAATGGGTGATCTCTAGCCTGTTGCCATAGCTACACCTTTTGCAGGATGTCACTGGTGTGGACACTCACAGTGGGCAAGCATTGATGTTAGCAAATGTAGGGTGACTCCCTGAGATCCTGCACATCTCAAGACAGCTCTTCTTGCAGGCTCCTTGTCACGGCTGTTGCTTTGCTAGAGGGGTTTCTAGGCCATTTTCTAAGATAGGTTCTTTCTTGCTTGGAGGCTACAGTAATCAATGATACCCTTCCCTATGGTAAAGACGGTCCCCTTCTGAGACAGCCTCTGGCAGGACTGTTCAGGGTCCCCTTCATTTATTAAGTTGTTTTTTTAAATTAGTATATACTTGGCATATATAATGAAGACATTCATCCTGGGTGTTCAAGATCAGTTTCTCAGAGAAAGAAGATCTGAAGCTTTGACCTTGACCCACTAGGCACACGGCAGCCATCTAGGTGTGCCATGCACTGTGCCGTGGCTGCGACACAGTTGTTTTGACCCTGACTCAGGATTCCCTGTGTTCTCAGTATCCAAACATGGCATTGTTTCTTTTTCATCTAGGAAACCCAAGACTCCTTATAACTCTTGAGACTTGTTTCTCTGTTTTGTTCATGGTGTGTGGCCATAACCCTATGGATTGGTTCTACCAAAACACTATATACCACATGGGGCTGTGTAGACAACAGAGGCATGTGTCTTGCTGGCCTGGAGGCTCACACCTGACATGTAAGTCCAGGCAGGGTCAGGCCAGCCTGTAGGGGTCATGTCTGGCTTTATCCAAGCTTCTGATGGTTTGCAGGTATCTCTGGGGTCTACTGTCTAGAGATGTGTAGCCCCAACCTCTGCTTTTATAGCCCCATGCACGACCCTGGGTCTTCCTGTGTTGTACCTAGGGAAGGACGCCACACAGGTTGAACTCAGTCTATCTACTCCAGTGTGGCCTCTTTTTAATGGGTAACTGGGGCAGCCTCGTATTTTCTAAGCATTGTAAACAGCCCAAAGTCATACAAGTTTGGATGAAGTTGGGTATGGATGAAATTGGCAAAAGCAAGATGCTGTATGTTCCGTATGTCAGAACTCCTCAGGGAATCATACCTATCACCATAGACCATCTGGAGCTATTCTGAAGAAATTTAAGTGTGCCCCAAGAGCTTCTTATGAGCAAGATTTGAAATATATAGGTTAGCTATCCCCAATTCAAATATCAAAAATTTGAAACTTTTGAGTGCCAACGTAACTTCTTGTATTATGGAGTCTTCAGATTTAATTTTGAGATCAGGGATACTATATGGCAACATCTGTTAATCCAGTGGAAACTTTCATCCTCCGTGAAAGCTATTGTGGTTTCCATTAAAAATGTTCCCTCAAAGGCTCACATGTTTTGGGGTACTGTTGAAAGGTGCTTACTACATCATAGGTGCTGTCTCTTCAGCAGATCAACCCACTGGTGACATCATGGATCAGTGGGCTGTTAGGAAGCAGGGCTTGGCTGGAGTGGGTCAGGGCTGCACCCCAGATGGTTCCATCTTGTCCTGGACCTTGTTTGTTGTCCACTCTGGCTATACCAGTGCAGTGCTGGCCATGCCACTCTCCTGGCTATCTACATTCCGGGACCCAAAGCAATGGCACCAACCGTGGCCAGAAACTGTGAGCCAGAACAAACCTTTTCTCTTTTCAGTGGCTTTTCTCAGGTGATCTGTCAGTGACAAAAACCCAGCACAGAAGCTCAAGAAGCAAAACTCACAAGAGGGCCACTCTTGTTGCTACAGAGAGCACAGCCCCATGGAGCTATTCCGTAAACATAAATTAGTAGGGAATAGTTTGCAAATCAAACCACTGAATAACTGTGTGATGTTCAGAATTGTACTCTTCAAGGGTAGCTTAGGTAAATCCAGCAGCTCAGTCGCTCTCTCCGAGGAAAGTCCCCTCTACTGAGTCTGGCACAGTTCCTGTTGCAGTGTCCCTGGAAGGTCCTAGGTATCTGAATCTACATGGAACCCAACTCTTGTGAGGACAGAGGTATCCCTATCCTCTTGCACACTATGTGCTGGTGAAGCACCTTCACTTTTTAGCTACTCCTACTTTATGTTCCATGGGGACTTTTTTGTTCTGAGGAGTGTCCTTTGGAGAAACTGCTCAGAATCACTTCTGGAAAACTGGGCCCCCACAATGAAGCACTACGTCTTTTGAACTTCTCTGCTCTCCCAAGTGTGTCAAGCATTGTTTAAAGATTTATTATGAAAAGCTTACCCTGAGGCTTTTCTGCTTAAGATAACCTTACAATCTGTCCACCTGGGTTTGCAAGGCATCTCCATGAGGCATGGTACACTGATGGTTAGGGTTAGGGTTGAGATGGCAGCAAAATGCTGTTGGAACTGCGAACACCTCAGGGGAAGGCAGGAGCTTGGAGCAGAAAGAGGACACAGCAGATGGTTGAAATGGGCACTGCACTGAGTGTACCCCACATGGAGCTCAAAGAAGCCTCTGGCTTTGGAGAGGTGAGATTTGCACAGCTCCAGGGGTTCCTAGAATGGGAGTGAGGACAGTGGAGAAGCAGGCAGGGCGAACTGGAAAGAGTCATATCAGCCTAGGAGGAAGGAGGCTGCAAGTCAGAGGGACAGGTGCTAAGAAGGACCTGCATGTCAGGGAAGGGCACTGACACTGACTGCAGCATTGGGTCAGCCTGCTGGGCAGGAAGTGGATGGGCACCAGATTGACACCGGGTGGACGTGAGTGAAAGTAGGGTCTGCAGGGGGAAAGGCTCCTGAGGGTCTGGACCTGAACCTTGATCCTGGCTAACACTGCTCTTGCTCAACCGGGCACTGAGCCACGCTGCCTTGTGGGCAGCTGACAGTCTCACTCCCTTTGTGTCAGCATACAAGCTCAGCCTCACAAGACTTCTCTCTTTTCTTCAAACCACAGCTAAACAGAGTGTAAGGAGAAGATACTTCAGTAAAAGGCTGACCCAGGTCAGTCAAGAGTAGCTCTGTCTCCTGGACAGGCCTCAGGGCCCGAATTGGAGCCTCTTGGGAGGCACATGTGTGCATGCAAGTGTGCATGTGTGAAGCCAGATGTTCACTGGTATAAACAACTGAAGAACATCATAGTTGCTCTACAGGTCCAGGACAAAGATCTAACAACCTTAGTGAGCTCTGAATATTGTTCTTTTGGAGAAAACACTTCATTCAGTTCTATACTGATTTTGATAGATCAAATGATAGTGCAAAGTACGTCTTACTTTCCTAACCCCTAACTAGAAAGACCAAGGAAAATACTCACATCAACTGCTTATTTCAATGTCAAATGTTTATTTCTATGCCACAGTCACCTTAGCACAATTCGTAAAAGAAAAGAATTCAAAAAAATGATTGTTTTTGGTCAGGATATTTTCTCCGCAGTTATAAGAAAAAAAATGAACACCTTGGTACCACAATTACCATTTCTTTCACATCATCCTAGTGACTAAATCTCAGTATTTACCTTGGATGTTACTCTTTTAGGATGGGAAAATATCCACAGGAGAGGAGTCTGGATTCATTAAACATGGGAGAGTCATTTTCAGAGACTCTATCTAGAACATTATGCATTTGGTACAGTTCATCACTAATGGTCATGTTGGTATGACTTAATATAACAGGTATACTTTATGACACAAAACAAAGTATGCTAGAAATGAGCAAGGTCAGGTATGAACTGGGTCTATCTCAAACCTTGAAGTGATAAGCTTGGAGCTGGAGTGTGGGACCCACATCTCCTCCACATCATCTAATTTAGCCTGGCAGGAAACAGGCTGGGAAGCACCCATCTCCACCTTAGCAGACAGGCATCAGGCAAAACTGAGACAATTTCAATGGACTCTTCTCACCTGATCTGAGACTTCAATCCACCAAGATTCTGACAGCGCAAGTGGGTGCTGTACCTCCGCCTGTGCAGGTGACTGCAGGGTGGTGGCTGTCACACGGACCCCTCAGCAGACACAGGGACAGATGCGCATTCTTTAAGTTCATGCACATTTTATTGAGTAGTAATATAAAATGCTTTTTCTTTTTCATTGTTACAAGTGCATGCTTTGATTGCCAACATTTCAGAAGTCAAATTACAAAGGCAAGGCTTTAGGCTGTAGTGAATTACTTGGGCACTTATACAATTGTTAAAAAATATGAATGGACTTTTTGTTGTTTTTGTTGTTTTCAGAATGAACCAGTTGTAACCCGTAACTGATATACAAAGGGAAAAAAAGTGAAAAAAGTAATAGTTTGTGGCACATGACAGAACAGAACAAAGTAACTAAACTGTCATGATATTAACAGTTACCATGCATTTAGAGTTTCACATGTAACTACAAACTTATTAAATTTCACGAGGTTTGCTAAACATGCTAACCATCTATGTGTGCACTGACAAGCTTATGTTAAAAACTTTTAAGAATACTCTCCCCTTTAGATTGTTTCAAAGCTTTTTTGATTATAAAATTTCAAAGGCATTAAGCATTTCAGAGAATATAAAGTACGCCAGGATACATACATTTCCAGTATATGTCAGACCACTAAGCGCGTTACAGTCCCATACAGGCCAAGACAGCCATTTTTTTTCTTAAAAAACATGCATAGGCAGATTTTTTTTTTACAGAATATAGATGCTTTATCACTGTACTTAATGTGGTGTCTCGTTCACTAGACTTAAAAACGCACCACTCATAAATATTTAACTCAGCAAGCCACAACCAAGACTTGATTTATCAACAAAACCCCTAAATATAAACAGCAAAAAAGATAGGTGTAATTATTCCAGTTTTTTTCAAACTTAAAGAAAAAGGAACGATGTTCACTGCCAAATTAAAAGGTAAGGGTTGTAATGGAAAGAAGGGCAGTCAAGCACACTAAAGAAACCTGAGGTAAGCAGATCTGTACAAAATCAAACTGTCCTTTTTGGCATTTTTAACAAATTTGCAACATTCTTTTTTTTTTTTCTTTTTCTGTTTTTTTTTTAAGACTGCCTAATTCAGTTTAGAGCCTTTGTCTGACAAGAGTAGCAAAACATTATCAATAAATAGTCCTTATTTAGTTTGTACATCATTTTTGTTAAAAATGTTTGATGTTATCCATTTTAGTGCTGCACTGTAAACGTACAATAGAGTAAGAAATTAGACAAAATTTTCATGTCCAGTAACAGAATAAAAGGCCTTTCATGAACCTACATGGAAGTCCCCAACGCAGCAGGAAAATATGTTCACCCCCTAACATCGCAGAATATACTAGCATAGCTTTCTTTTAAAAATTTTTCCCCAGAAGCATTTTTAAAAGGCATACTCAAAAGAGGTGCTTAATCACCATCCTCAACAAATATAGTTTCTTTTCTGTCTCCCTCTCCTTTACTGATCATGTAAACGGAATCCAATGCCTGGCCCCCAGAGCACACACACTAAGTCAGAGGCAAAAACACACCCTTGTGTACGCAGAAATTCCCATCATGCCCTGCAGCTCGGGAAAAAAAAAAGGGGTGAGCAGGAGGCGGTCACTGAATATTGCTGCTGTTGCTGCCGTTGCTGTCTGTGCCGTTAGTCTCTGAGGCGAGGGCCTTGTTAATGGAGTTGAGGTTGGCATCCGAGGGCACAGCGTCTCGGCGGGGTGGCATCCTCTCGTTAATCCGGTCTAAGCCCTTGGCCTCCTCGAAGCTAGTGATCTTATGTTGGGGTGAGAATCCTTTGATAGCTACATGGAAAAATCATTAAAAAAGAGGCAGGTTAACTGGGGCACTTTAAGAGTGCAGCAGTTGTGGCAGGGAGGTCAGGGACTTCGCAGTGGGTAGGAATCCTTTAGTGGAGAACAACGTGACAGGACCTGAACACGACACGACAGACTCCTTACCATACTCGGAGGTGACCAAAGGTTGGAAAACAGCCAGGTATCTTGCCAACCAAAATGTCTTCTTGAAGGCACTAAGATGGAAGATTTCTGTGTCTTTGCGAAAGGTTAGATCAAAGAAATCCACAGTGGACAGGTAAAGAGGGAAGATGCTTGCAGGACAGGCCCCTTGGAACAACCCCCACTGGGCACGCCAGCATGACCAGTATGCTAGGCTCTGAGCTGGACAGATGGCAGTGGGCCCCAGTGGCACCTCCCATTGCACTGGAAACTCTTGGAGTCGAGGGTGTTCTACACCTACCATCCTAGCAACAGGCTTGGAGCACAAGGCAGAGGGGGCCAGAGAAGGAATTAACACAGGCATTTCCTGCCATCTCAGAATCCCACCAAGACCTCCTCATGGCACCTTTCCATGGATTGCAGGAAAGAGGAAATGATAAACTCTGGCTTTCCCATTCAGTCCTGAAGCCTGTGGAGTGGGCAACAAGGTAAGAGAGACTCAGAAAAACCAAGATCAGATTATGAAGTAGAGAAAAAGGCAATGCCTTCCCTTTAGCAGTGAACAGGTCAAACTCATGTTAAGTCTGGTATCCATTGCTGCCTAAGTTAAAGGAAAACTCATTTTCAGAAGATCAATGAGTAATAGACATAACCACTGAGATGTGGTTAAAAAAGGGAAAAATTATTTTTAAAATTTTTGGCAAAAATAAATTGGACTAGTGTGTGCCTTATTTAATCACACATGGATTTCTCCAAGCAGATACCATGATTCAGGTATGGGTTTTGTCTGGTAACCCTTAGCTACAAAGACAGGTAAAGTACTTGTGCAAGAAAACTGTTTCTCCGGTGGGTGCACCAAGCAGTGAGTTGCAAATCTCATACATATGGAAACCAGTGACATCAGTTTGTGCCACTGAACTGCAAGGCAGATACTCAAGGGCCAATCGCCAGTGCTGACGGGGCCAGGGCGCCATGACTGACAGAGGGCAACTGCATGGGATCTGTGTGCTCCCCACCTTCCTGGGGCAAAAATTAGAGCAGTCTTAAACTGAAACGGAGCCAAGCCCCGCTACACAGATGTGTGGTGCCTTTCTTTGGTATGGGTGAGATTCTTAAAAGACAGACAGTGGTCCTGGAACTCATTCTTAATGAGGAGAACAGTGCTCCCCCTCTGCATTGTAGGATTAGCATCGTGGTGATTAGTCAACTGTGCAAGGAAGAGTGGGAGAAGGGAAAGACCAAAGCCCAAAGCAAAGCTTCTTAATTCTTCTGTAATTCAGTAATAAACAAATTGCAGAATCATAGAGCCATGAAATGAGCACCCACCCTGAGAAGTTAATTATTTCGAGGGATAAAATAATGGCATGATGCTGGACTTTACTCTTCTTCTAAATTGTTGCACATATTTTATCATAATTAGCATGTAGAGCTTATCATTTTAATTTATAACAAAATTTTATCAATTTAAATTGGCAAAATGGAATCTCTAGGTTTGAAGAGCCAATAGAATGGGACATAGAAATTGTGAATCTATTAGAACCAGGGCCCTCTCTGGGCTGGGGCTCGTCCTGGGCACTTTGTTGCCCGCTCTGGAAGAATGTGCTGTGCTGTAGCTGGTGGTCAGACAATGGGTATTAGCACTGTACACTGGTAGTAACCATACACAACACAGAGTCACAGAAACCACAGAAGACAGCCAGACTACCGACAAGAGTGCACACTGCAGATTAGGGTTTGCCAAAAGGAATAGAGATTCCCACATAAATAGCAGTTTGCTGACTGCTATTTAGGAAGCAGTTGTATTTTCTCTTACAACGCTGACGTTTGCCCTCCCATATCCAAATCAGGTACAAATTGCGAGTCTAAAGTGGCACTTTTTCCATCATACCAAAGGACCATATGTACACAATTTTGGGAAGAATAAGAAGTTATCTTGCAAGAACAAAATACAACTGAACAATTTTGTTTTAAAGGGGAACTTCAAATTATTCTTTTTTTAAATTTCCAAAGGATATGGTACACACAATATTAAGAACTATTATGGTATGCAGTTCTCTCAGTCACATTTCAAAAGCATTTGGCTAAAAAAGTAGCAGCTAAGGGGTCAACTCTTATGTCTTCTTGCAGTGCAGGACGCTGGTGGTGACTCGGGATGCTGGCTTCTCCCTACATCCGCGGCAGGCACCTGTGAAGGCTGACTGCGTGAGTGATTGCCTTATGCTTACTGTGCTTGTCACTGGCCAGTCCTACCACCACTAGAAACTTTCAGACTCTCCCTAACATTTTCCTGGCACTAGCTATACTACAGTCACTGATAGGTAAAATTGATAAGGTTAAAATAACTTTCTTTGTACACATCTGTCTCATGTTTGAATAGTTTTTAGAGACAACAGTTAATATTAAACTACAGAAAATCACTATTCAAATGAAAATTTTTTTTGAGGGGCTACAAATTGCTAAAGACTACAAATCAATAAAGCTATTTTTATGCTATCCTTCACAGTGCTGCCTGGAAGTGGTTTGAGGGAGGGACATGGTTCAGCTCAAAGAATGTTTTATGTGTTTTCAAAACAGCTGCCATAAGCTCCACCCCGCATCATTCAAGATCTGTAATGCTTTTGCTTTCTATGATAATGTTAGGTTCATCATATACCAAAGTCAAACATAGCTTTAAGGGAAAAAACAAACAAACAAACCATAGAAGAACATTTTCCCCTTTAAAGCAAGAACATTTTGGTTAATACTGAGCCACAACTGTTAGCCCAACACCCACACACTCTGTACAAGCTACAGCAAAAAAAAAAAAAATAAATAAATAAAAATAAATAAATAAAATGAATACACCCAGCAGAGCCCTTGTCTGTTGCACACACAACAGAAAGGGGCCTGGCCAATTTACCTTCATCAGCCTCAATAGCCTCAACAGTAGCTGAAGAGAAGAAAGGGTGCAAATGAATGAGAAAAATGAGCAGAGGATTCTTAACTCTAAGAACAAATCAGTGACGATCAAAGGCACTAAGAGGACTAATGCTTCTGTAAGTGCTGGATTCGGGCATAGACAACAACACAGAAATGCTAAAAGAAAAGAAAGAGGACCTCCACAGAAAGTGATAAGAACTGGGTGTGACTGTGCAGGGGTCTGCTTGGCTCTAAGCTGGCTACCTAAGTGACAAAGCAATGAATACTTTAGGAAAGCACACCCTGAGTTTATTTTTTTCTAAAATGTGAACTGAGTGAATTGAGAAGGAGTTATGGAAATCTGCAGTGTGTTTCTGGCTCACAGAGTACAACGAAAACTCTGCACTATGTGGCTATTTACAGTTTAAAAGTGCAACCAAGGACAGTGGAAGCACAGCCACCTCGGTGGGGTCCTGCATGCTTTTAATGTAAAACTGCACTTTTCCTACTGTGGTACAAAGAAAGATAGGGGTGTAAATTGAACAAAAGCTAAAATCCTATGTGTTCAAGCTCATAGTGCATGTGGCTCTCAAGAGACAGACAGGTGGAGGTGGGGTGGTGAGAGGGTGAAAGAGAAAGGAAAGAAATGGTGTGTGCATGTATGTGTGTGTATGTGTGTACATATATAATGAACTTTGGGGGGCAGGTAGACCAATTTCAAATCAGTTTCCTTTCTATATTGTAATTTCGTTTTTGGAAATGACATTTTTGAAATGTTACAGATCAAGTGGTAACATGGCAGTAGCACCAATAATTATATTAGAGTTTCAAAGAACAGGGTGGCTCCATACTGAAATCTCATTTATGAGATTCTGTAGACATGTACTGAAATTTTATTTAAGCATATTTAAGAGCCAGAACTGTAAAGGCTCACTGCTTTATCAGCAATTTTTACAAGGTCTGTGTTTGCACTCTGCAGGGATGTTAGTAAGGCTACTTGATAGTTCTCTAATCAAATGATAAAATGCACAATTTCTCTGGAAATCAGTATTTTTCCTAGGATGTTTAATGTTTAAAATTCTAGCCCTTGATTTTAATTTGCATTTTTCTAATAATTTAAGTTTCAGAAGTGGAGCAACTGCCCAATATACACTATAACTTACAGTGCATTTTAGATTCCTTATGACACACAAAATATGGTCACTCCAAGGAAAAATCTAGACAGCAAGGCTTTGACTAACTTCCTTTTCAGTTAAGTGGAAAGGTGTTGGACCATTAATTCTGAAGTTGTCGTAACACGTGTGGTACCAAAGACATTCTAAGGTTTCCGACTCTCAAGACAAGCGAGTTCTCGGTCCGCACAACTTCTCTGTGTCTGTGTGCAGGTGTGTGAGGAGTTCAACACAGAGGAACACAAACCAAGTGGGTAAATGAGAACAGAATAACTGAAGTCAAACACACATATGAAAAATCTGAAAATGAAACAAAGAATTGTAGTAAGAAAGTGAGCAACTTAGGTTTAAAGTGAAACCAGAACTCCAGGGCCACACCAGCACTGACACTAAGTGTGCTGCCAGGGGTCCAGGCCTGGAGGGCGGGGGCTCTGGGGACTTCGTGGTACCTCAGGCCACGCTCTCAGAAACCAGGCCTTTGGCAGGCAGAGCTGCCCCATCCACAGGTGAGGAGCTACTTAGTAAGGGTTTTGTTGGTGGGAAAACTTTACTGTTATAAAGGTATTAAAATAATTTCTAGCTAAAAGTTTAAAGAGAGAAATGTACTCTGATACTATGTTATTCTCTTACTGTAATTTAAAATGTCTGAATTTTGTGGCAACTCAAAGATGTTAGTTTTGGAGTTAACTGACTGAAAATAAAGTTATGGAGACACTGCTTGCATGGGATACTCTAGCAATACCATCCCCAGGAAGCTGATATTTATTCTTCATCTAGAAGTTTTCTAGACAGTGTAATGCTAAAAACACCTGGCTCTTCTAGGATGAAGGACAGGGATGGAAAGAAAATATGAAAAAGACTAAGGAAAGATAAAACAAAATACATAAGAGGCTGAGATTGTTTTAAAATGTTACAGTGTTATTTTAACTTTTTTCTAGTGAAGTCTAATCTACTAGCAAAATTTTTCCATTGTGAAAATCGTAAGTGAATGACAATACTAGTTGGTAATAAAAATGACGAGAATAAGAGTAGCACAGTGCTGTCTAACATAGATAGCACCGGGCATATGGGTTGTTAATTACATTCAGTGCACAAAAGTGCTTTTGCAGTTGTCCCAGGCAGATATAAGTCAATAGTTATATGTTAGCAGAGATCCTGGGTAGATTTACAGAAATCTCCACTGTCACAAAAGTTCTGTTAAACAGCACTGGCCTAGAAAGCTATACTTTTAATATAAAATCTCCAGGTAGAAGGCATTATTATCATTCTTTTAAAAAAAATAAAATGTGTTTCTGCTTATATTTTATAATGACAATCAGAGAAAAAATACAGGGCTTCCAACTTCCATTCAAGTGGACAATGAAATTAACCTCCAATACTGTTCTCCAATAAAATCTAGCAGTATGGACATGTATTTATGTATGTATTTCTATGTCTTTCATCAAACAATGAATATTAATAATGGACTACAGAGTTGTTCTGGTGAATGACTGGCTCACAGTGGTCAAGCCTATTGTGAATGAGGCCACCTGAAGAAGTGCTGTCTGGTAGCCAGGTGAAATGCAAATGAGGGGCTAAAGGGCAAACCTGGACCAATATGCAAATGAGGATCATATGCAAATGAGGGTCTGGGACTAAGACCATTTTGCAGTGGACAGGTGCCAGTGTGTCCAGCAGGGCTGATGGAGCTGATGTGGGGTGCAGCCTTCTTCCAGCCAAGCTCCAGACAGGACAGGGCTTCAAAGACTCCCAGGAGAGGGTGCTGCCCAGGCCTGGGGGACCCATGGGTGCTTACCGCTTTGCAGGGTCTGCTTGCCTCCCGAAAGCACTCCACTGGGCAGCATGCCGGTGGGGGTCAGGCCCTTCAGTGTCAGCACGCTCTCGCTCTCCTCTCTGCAAGGCACCCATATTGCAGCACATTTACTTTGCATGTGGAAAACGACTCCAAGGAAAATATACAACAAAAGAACCCACATGTACCTCTACACAGGCCCTCTGGACCCTTTTTTTTTTTTTTTTAACATAAAATATACCATGTCTGCGCACACCTGTACAAATAATGTCAAGTGCCTGCTGTGGCCAGGCCACAGCACACTCCTGTGAATCCCTATCCCAGCAGGGCCCAGCAGCAGCGTGGGCACCTGACTGCAGTGGGCATCGGAGGAGGGCAGCTCTCCCTCAGACCCAGGCCCAGGGATGGCTGCAGAAACTGGCAAGGGCTTCTGAGGTCACACAGAGGAGATGAAAAGTGATGGCTCCAGGCCAAGGAAGCAAGTGTAGAAACTCTGAGATTTCTTTTTGCCACTTTCCCCAGGGATTTGCTACTCTAAGATTATTCATGATTCACTATGACATCTGTTTTACAATCCACATTGCAATAGTATTTACCCATCATTATTTTGATTTGTGAATAAAATCTAACGGGTAAACATGAAATGTGAATAACCTCACGTATCTATCACTGCAATCTTATGTAAGAGATTTTTAGTAAGTCTGAGAACCTGTTACTTCCACAGTTTGTTTTTCACTCAGAACTGGAAGTTCTATCTTTTACTTCTTAAGCTTAACTGGTAATTCCTTTCCTTGTCTCCTGTATCCACTCCTTCACAAATCTTGCTGTTTCTTCCTTCAAAATGTTCCTGGTCTCTTCCCACTTCTCCAGCCTATTATCCCGTCTCCTTTGGAAATATGTTCTTTGAGATGCAATTCACACGGCATTTAAGTCACCCATCTACAGTTTATGATGAGAAGAATGTTTCCTATATATTCATAGGCTTGTACAACCATCCCTACCCACCAGTTTTAGAGCACTTCACCAGGCCAACTGAAGCCCATACCCAGCAGCGGGGATCCTTTCCCTTCCACTCACCACCCACCTAGGGCTCCCTTCCAATCTCTGCTCTCACACTGCCTCAGTTGCAGCTTACTCTCTTTCCTCCCTCTTCTATTTGTGTTAAACATCTACCACTAAGAAGAAACTTCTCTTTACTTCTTGACTTTGCCTCTAGTGCCCCCTTTCAGCCACCCAGGCTATACCAGCTTCACAAGGGTGGGCTGGAGCCTGCAGGGCCACAGTCGGATCTTGGGTCTGGCATGTAGATCACCAAGTGTTTACTTTGAGCAAGGAAAGGAGAGGTGGAACCCTTCATGGGGACGTCAGCCACACTTTAGATTTCTGCTTCCTTCACTGCACAATATACACGCTAGGGTTGGGGCTGGAGCCCAGCTCGGCAGCATAGGGCCTGCCTGCAAGGGTGAGGCCATGTTTGATTCTCAGTGCCAAATAAAAAGACTGTAGTTGAGAAGCCCTCTACTTATTGCTGAGTTGGAGGCAAGTATTTCAGCCTGGAATTCTTGGGCTCCTGTTGAACAAGCACCAGAGCTACTGAAGGAGAGATGCTGACAGGCTAATTCCCAGGAAAACTGCTGGGCAGCAGAGCACCATGGCCCCACTCTGGGGCACCCCAGGCTTTGACACTTGTGCTGTGTCAAGTCCTGCCTGGAAATAAGAGGCCCAAACCAAAGGAACTAAACCTTTCATCTCCAGGGACCTGCTGAACGGCTTAAATTAACAAACATTTCCTGATAATTTGTAGTATATTTTTTCAAACTTTCAATTGTGTATCATAACAGAATGAACGTTATGGGAACGAGGAATGGGATCAGACACCCCCCCCCACCCCCGTTAAAATCTGTCCATCCACCTCCACCCTGGGCCACCACCAGCAAGGCCACACGCTGCATTGTGCAGCAACGCAAACTGCTCCTGTTCAGAGGTTGGCGAGGACAAGGAGGACTGAGCCTCTCTAGAGAGGTGCTATCCTGGGATCTGGGGATCCGTATTCACTTTTTTCTCTTGGTTGCCGTGGTTCCCAGAGTGTCTGCAGTGACAGAGACACCATGCCACCTTTCTGGGAAAAGCACAGCGGTGGGTGGGAGTGGGCTTGTCCACGTCTTTCCCTCCCTGAGGGTCTGTGCTTTCTCCCCACTGCTCCCCCTGTCTGAATCCCTAGCCCTTCTGCTATCCATGGCCTCTCTGGGTGAGTATCCTGCTGTCCTGCATCCCACTTTGCGGTCCACAGGTAAGCCTGGAGACGCAAAGAAGGAGGCCAAGGCTCAGAGGCAGCAATGCCCTTGTCGCTCACACCTGCAGAGTCTCCCTCCAGCACACTCCCTGTCTCTCCTGTGCAGGTGCTTGTAGCCAAGCTCCCATGGCTGATTTTCACAGGAAGGCAGTGTTGGGAAGAGGAAGAGAGCTTGAAGATCAGGCAACTGGAAGGGGCGCTGCATGTTGCGTGAACTGCTGTCTGAGTTTCAGAGGCAGCCCCGGGTCACATTGAGTATGCACCCGCCCCCAACCCCTCAGGCTAAGATGCTTCTCAGACTCTACACAAGGGACCTAAGTGAGCATTCACTGCTGCGCATGCTAGAGACAGCTCTGTGGTTCTCTGCACTGCTGCACGTCTCTGAGACCCAGATGTGTATCTGGAAGCTGGTCCTGACAAGTCCATAGCTCCATCCACGCTTATCCATTGCACCCTAGGCTTTGAGTTTCTCAAGTTCCTGTTCACCTTTTCTTCACCTTCCTGCTCCTATAGCCTGGTCCAATGTTTTGTTTGGATTTCTCCAGTAGCTCCCTAACTGTTATTCCTGCTACTGCAGCCACTGTGCAACTTGGTCCTCACAATGACACTGAACATATCCAGGTGTCAGTCCCAGCACAAATGTCATCGGTGAGAATCATGCAGTACTCATGAACTACACCCAGGAAAGTTAACCTTGGCCATGGTACCTGGACTTCAGAGCACCTCTAGTTTTATACTTTGTTTCTCACTTGTCCCTGTTCAGCCTTTTTACATATTTAAAATTTATTCCCAGATGAGCACTGTTACCCGGAATCCTCTAGACTGCTGCTGCACCCCAACTTAGTGAATCTGGATCTGCTGCTTGGTCTCTCTGCTTTGTGTTGTAAAGGGCAGTCACCACAGCCTTGGAAATCAGCTGTGTGATTTTACCAGCCATGGATCTCTGGCAAAGGTGAACATCACAGGGCACAGTACTGGGTGTTCAGCAAGCTCTCCACAGGAGGACAGCCTTGACACTGTTGCTGGTGACCTCTCCTGGCTTCACTCAGGATGCAGGTAGAGCGAGGCCTGCAGCTGCTTCCCATGCCAACCTCTCCAGGTGCTTTTCTTGTGGAAATGCAGGCTCCCAGAAGTCCCTGCCCCAGCAGAGCCCAAGTGCACCTGCTCAGCACACACGTCACTGTCACTGTTGCCCATTGGTCCAGGACTTGGCACCTGCCCCCTTACTCTATTCACAGCTCATGCCTGATCATGATTCAGGAAGCTTGGGACCGTTTCCTCTGGACAGGACCCCCTGTTCTCTGCATGTACAACACAGGGTTTTCTAGTGCAGCACAGCAGTGGCACGCAGTCCTTGTTTTGTTTTCTATTGATATGCATGAACTCCAGTCCTGGGTCACCACTGGGCTCACAGAGTTCACCTGTCATCTGAGAACAGCTGTGTTCCAGCATGTAGGGCACTGGCAGGCTGTCTGGTGCAAAAGCCTTTATGATTCTAGAGATGAGTCCTGCAGCCTTCATGTGCTTTTTGAAATCAGAAGAAAAAAACTTCTTATAGGAACAGAGGCTTCTCTTTCTTCTGAATGTACCTTTGCTTGAAAATGCTGGAGTTGTTTTGTTTCCCCTTGAACAGACTTCAGATGGAAGTCAGAAGTCTGCTCCCTTGGTCTTCTGGTGGTCCTCAGGACTGCTGGACTCATCCAGACAAGCAGTGACACCTGTTTGAACTCAGTGTTCTTCAAGACCACCTGCGCTTGCTCAAATGTCAACAGGCTTGCTGATCACACAGGAAAGTGAGTGCTATCCCTTTACTGCCTTATTTTCTCTTCATGGTCATACCAAGGTTTTCAGTTTTATTTTGCTTATTTACCACATGAATGAATAAACCCTAAAGGCTGGCTGAGAAGGGAGCAAGGGTGATCTCACGCACTAGGCTGTGGGGCAGGCTGTGCTATCCCAGTGCTAATGGGATGGTCGGGGCTGCAGAGCCTCGCTGGCTTTGCACGGTCTGTGAAAGAGGATGGTGGTGCCTTCCGCCCTTCTCAGGTGTCCCTGCTTTCTTCAAGGGTCACTGAGTTACTCTTGAGTGGTGACCAGGAGTTGGACAGAAACATGGAAAAGGGAAACCAGAGAGCCAGAATAGCTTGCTGTGAGAGAACTGAGGCAAAACTGTGGCAGAATTAGATGATGAGCCATCCAGCAAGCAGATGGAGTGTTTTCTGAGGTAGTCTTACTTAACTGTGAGTATGAATTACTGTGAATAGATCGCACTGTTCCCATATAAGCACACTGTGCGTTAAAACACTCTTTAAAAGAGAAATGCAATTAATGTGTATTATCTTGGTACTGGTCACCAAATTTCATTAACATATAATGAATTCCCTTCAAGAAAATTTTTAAAATCCAAGCTGAAGCAGAATTCATGATATGCTTTACAAAAAATACCCATACCAGAAAAAACAACAACAACAACAACACTATACAGGAACTGCAATGTTAAGACAGTTTTCCCCTTTCAGTGATTCATTAGAATAATATGGGTTCATGAGCAAAGCTTTATGGTACGAGCTTTCTAGATCATTCCCTAGAAATCTAGTGAAATGTACCTGATGAATTCATTTTTGACCATAAAGCCAAAATGAAAAATGAAGGGATTACAATAGCTTTCTTAATTTCATAAGAAGCTCAACCTAACCTGAAATAAATGTTTTAAAATCCCGCAGCAAACAGAGGCATGAGATGTGGTACAATCCATTTATAGCCATTTTCCTTCACAGAAACAACCTCGTGGACTGCAAAGTGAGGAACCAGAATTCCACTGAAAAGGACAGAACTATTTGAGAGCAGCAAACACTGTCTGGTAAGCTGTTTACATTACCAAATTAAGATACAAGAATTGTGAAGCCCACTGTGTGCAGCATAGTAACGTTCCAAGTAGGAAGGAGGAGCAGGCCCCACCTGAGAACCGAGAACACCCTGGCCATCTTCCCGATGGCGCGGATCTTGTTCCGAATCACCTCCTTGCGGGCTGCTGCTGTCGCTCCTGTATTGGGAAAAGAGCAGGGCAGTCAGGGACTTGAGATCTCACATGATTACCTGTAAACCTATGCAGGACACAGTCAAAAGGAAGCAAAATCAGTCTTGTTTCTCCTCTAAGAGATCCATGTTTATATCCAAATTGAAAATCTATGCTTTTGGTTGTTTATGCCATGGTATGGTTTGTGGGGTAGCTCCAAAGCCCCACAGTAACTTCTCAAGATCCTTAAGTGGTAGAGGAGCAGATCTGGGATCCCCCAAATAGGTGACTAAGCAGATGAGGGTGACATGGTCATTCCCTGACAGAACACCAGCTCTAGCTGGGAGTTAGGCTGACCAGTGCCTCCTCACAGGCCCTGATGGCAGCAGGACACCATTCCACTTGGTTCTGGAGGGAAAAGAGAGGGGCAACTTTGGGGAGAGGGTCTCAGAGTCCAGTTCTTCCGTCACGGAGAAGGAGTATGAGGAAAATTCCCCACCTCTCCTGCAGTTCCAGGAGGGAACTGGGCTGGGGAGACTGACTCTGTCCCCCATACTTGCAGATTCTAATCTATTTTAGGTCATTTTCACAGCTCTAAGAGAAGAGACTAGCTACATGGAAATTTCATACTCAAATATCTTATAAAATAGAAAATTTCTTATTATTAGACCATGAGAAAGCTGCTATTAAAGATAATTGTTGTTATTGAATATTCTCTTGGATGGAAAAGCACCCAGCTCTCTGCCTGTTCCTTATTGGCCTTGAACCTTCTGCTGTCACCCAGGTGCTGTATTTCTTTATAGGACAACCATATCCACAGCACATATACTGAAACAATGCATTACACAAAAATATGTTTATAATAACACTTTGTACTTTTTCAAAAAAACATTTTAAAATACACATTTTGCTGGTAGTTCTCAAATTCTTCAAATTTTTAATCCAAATTTTAAGAAATGATTTTTCTTTTACCACTCACTATTTAATGAAATTTGTTAAAAGTTAAAGTTCACCTCTGCTGCAGATGATGCCCACTTCAAAGTAAAATATTATCATAGATTATTGTTAGTAAGAATTCTGACATGGCTACAGATTTTATTTTTTCCCAAATAGAGCAATTACTGAATGTGAATAAAAGCTATTGACAAAATGAAGCATAAGGTGTTGAGATAAGAAATATCTTTGGTTATGTTATCCTAAAAACTAAAATGGTTTAGTTCCCATCCCAAAGAACACCTGTGAGGTACGGAGTGCGATACGGAAGACAGAGCAAGACTTCAGAGGCAATTCCCTGATTATGAAAATTATAAATAACATAGTCTGTCTGACTTGAGTGAACATCTATTGGAAATCCAAGGTAATCTCTGCACAGTAATCCCTAACCTTATTCCACCCCATCTGACCCCACCCCGGCCAATCCTTGGCTTAAGTTTAACAATAATGCACCTGGCTGGGACGTCTGTGTCCAATAA